CCTCAGTCTCCCTTCCCCCAGTGATCAGTCTGCTGCAGGCAGGATGGTGCATTTCCTCAGTCTCCCCCTCCCCCCCATTGATCAGTCTGCTGCAGGCAGGAAGGTGCATTTACTCAGTCGCCCTTCCCCCCAGTGATCAGTCTGCTACAGACAGCATGGTGCATTTCCTCAGTCTCCCCCAGTGATTAGTCTGCTACAGGCAGCATGGTGCATTTCCTCAGTCTTCCCCAGTGATCAGTCTGCTGCAGGCAGGATGGTGCATTTCCTCAGTCTCCCCCTCCCCCCCATTGATCAGTCTGCTGCAGGCAGGATGGTGCATTTACTCAGTCGCCCTTCCCCCCAGTGATCAGTCTGCTACAGACAGCATGGTGCATTTCCTCAGTCTCCCCCAGTGATTAGTCTGCTACAGGCAGCATGGTGCATTTCCTCAGTCTTCCCCAGTGATCAGTCTGCTACAGGCAGGATGGTGCATTTCCTCAGTCTCCCCCCCCCCCGTGATTGCTTTGCTGCAGGCAGAATGGTGCATTTCCTCAGTCTCCCTTCCCCCCAGTGATCAGTCTGCTACAGGCAGGATGGTGTATTTACTCAGTCTCTCCCCTCCCCCCCAGTGATCGGTTTGCTGCAGGCAGGGTGGTGCATTTCCTCAGTCTCCCCCTCCCCCCAGTAATCAGCCTTCTACAGGCAGGATGGAGCATTTCCTCAGTCCCCCCTCCCCCCAGTAATCAGCCTGCTACAGACAGCATGGTGCATTTCCTTAGTCTCCCTTCCCCCCAGTGATGAGACTGCTGCAGGCAGTTGGAAATATTTCCTCTTCCCTACAGTGATCAGTCTGCTGCAGGTAGGAGAAAGCAATTCTTCAGTCTCCTCTTCTCTCAGTGATTGGTTTGCTGCAGGCAGGATGGTGCATTTTTTTCAGTCTCCTCTCCCCCCAGTGATCAGACTGCTGCAGGCAGGAGGAAGAATTTCCTCAGTCTCTTCTTCCCCCTCTGATCAGTCTGCTGCAGGCAGGATGGTGCATTTCCTCAGTCTCCATTCCCCCTGGACTGCTGCAGGCAAGAGGAAGCATTTCATCAGTCTCCCTTCCTCTTAGTGATCAGACTGCTGCATGCAGGAGGAAGAATTTCCCCAGTCTCACTTCCCTCAGTGATCAGACTGCGTCAGGCAGGAGGAAGCATTTCCTCAGCCTCCTCTTCCCCCTGTGATCATTCTGCTGCAGGCAGGAGGAAGCATTTCCTCAGTCTCCCCTCCCCGGTGATCAGGCTGTAACTTTGAAGCAAGTCACAAGCTAACAGGCTGCAGCAGAGGCTCATATGTGTCAGACATTTGTGAACACAGTCCAGCACAGGCTCCAGTATTTACAGTCATCATACAGGACACATCTCTGAGCCGGCATCTCAGTGCAGGAAGCAGATGGTGACCCTGGATGATGCCTGAAGAAAGATGGGGCCGTCCTTCTGGAGAGAAAAGCAGACAAAGGTGGTATGAAAGGGAATACTATGTCAGGATTGTGGAATACAGATTTTTATTTTTAGTTCTTTGTGGAGCTCCAGAACAAAAGCAGGTTAGTATTTGGAAGGAAACCCCACCCTGCCCACGTATTGGATGCAAGATATACTCGGCAAAGGCGGAATTTGTAATCCGACGTATCTGCAGTCTGATCGCTGTGCACAGGTTGGCCTCAGAGTGGCGCTGTGGTGCGAACTGTGGAGGAAGGGCAGGTGAGGAAGGAAACCTCCCGCTGAACCATCCCAAAGTGGCTGCATTATTGATGGTCCCGACTTCTGCCATGTCAGTAAAGTGCCGAATCACGGTCCAATGCCTCCACCCCGCACGCTACCATCTGATGGGTGCAAACATGGCAGGCTAAAGAGCACCGGTCTAATACCCAGGATGGAGATCGTCCTCGCTGAGCAGCTGCTTACATTCTGCCATCCCTGGCCCCCCCCCCCCCCCCCCCCCCCCCCCCCCCTCACCATCAACAATAATGTACATAAAATGTTTCCGTTTTCATTACATACCTCATTTTAGACCCAGTGATGTTATCACTGGGTCTCTGTGCTTCTTATCTATGCAATGGAAATGCACCCTGAAAAATGCAATGATCTGTAAGAATTAATACATCATTAACCTTTTTTTTTTTTTTAAATACAAACAAGGACCTGAATGTTACCCGGGATCAGCCTCTTGCAGTCCCTGTACAGCAGGGCTTAGTGTGTGAGAGGAAGAAGCAGCACAAGAAGCCAATCAGATCATGCGCTGTCAAGAAGCATGCCAATAGGTGGACAGAGAGGTGAGCTTATCACTGTGCTGCTTTTCCTTTCACCGTCACAGGTTGGGGGCTGGTCCGGGATGACCTGGGGTAAGAGGAAGTAGATTGCATGACGCTGGCCATCAGACTGAGGTCGGGGGCTGGTCCGGGATGACCTGGGGTAAGAGGAAGTAGATTACATGATGCTGGCCATCAGACTGAGGTCGGGGGCTGGTCCGTGATGACCTGGGGTAAGAGGAAGTCGATTACATGATGCTGGCCATCATGCTGAGGTTGGGGGCTGGTCCGTGATGACCTGGGGTAAGAGGAAGTAGATTACATGATGCTGGCCATCAGACTGAGGTTGGGGGCTGGTCCGGAATGACCTGGGGGTAAAGGACGTAGATTACATGATGCTGGCCATCAGACTGAGGTCGGGGGCTGGTCCGGGATGACCTGGGAGTAAGAGGAAGTCGATTACATGATGCTGGCCATCAGACTGAGGTTGGGGGCTGGTCCGGGATGACCTGGGGTAAGAGGAAGTCGATTACATGATGCTGGCCATCAGACTGAGGTCGGGGGCTGGTCCAGTGATGACCTGGGGGTAAAAGGAAGTCGATTACATGACGCTGGCCATCATGCTGAGGTTGGGGGCTGGTCCGGGATGACCTGGGGTAAGAGGAAGTAGATTACATGACGCTGGCCATCAGACTGAGGTTGGGGGCTGGTCCGGAATGACCTGGCGGTAAGAGGAAGTAGATTACATGATGCTGGCCATCAGTCTGAGGTTGGGGGCTGGTCCGGGATGACCTGGGAGTAAGAGGAAGTAGATTACATGATGCTGGCCATCAGACTGAGGTTGGGGGCTGGTCCAGGATGACCTGGCGTAAGAGGAAGTAGATTACATGATGCTGGCCATCAGTCTGAGGTTGGGGGCTGGTCCGGGATGACCTGGGGTAAGAGGAAGTAGATTACATGATGCTGGCCATCATGTCTGAGGTTGGGGGCTGGTCCGGAATGACCTGGGGTAAGAGGAAGTAGATTACATGATGCTGGCCATCAGACTGAGGTTGGGGGCTGGTCCAGGATGACCTGGGGGTAAAAGGATGTAGATTACATGATGCTGGCCATCAGACTGAGGTTGGGGGCTGGTCCGGGATGACCTGGGAGTAAGAGGAAGTAGATTACATGATGCTGGCCATCAGACTGAGGTTGGGGGCTGGTCCGGGATGACCTGGGGTAAAAGGACGTAGATTACATGATGCTGGCCATCAGTCTGAGGTTGGGGGCTGGTCCGGGATGACCTGGGGTAAGAGGAAGTAGATTACATGACGCTGGCCATCAGACTGAGGACATCTAGTGGAAGAATTAAAAAAAAAAAAAAAAAAAAAAAAAAAAAAAAAAAAAAGTACTGCAGGGGAAATCTATAGATTGAAGAACATTGTTGACCATCAGACTGAGGACAGCTAGTGGCAGAATGGAAGTACTGCATGGGGACATCTCTGGATTGAAGCTAAAAATTGCAGCAAAAGCTAGCTTTGTAATTTTATTTTCTGCCATTCATTAAAAAAAACAAAAAAACAAAAAAAAAAAAAAAAAAAAAAAGAACAATATAGACACGGGGGTGTGGGAAATCATTTTATAAATAAGAACGGTGCCTCCAACAGGCCAAACTCATTGACACCTATGGAATGATGAAGTCATATTTAAAGTCCTCAGGAGTCGGCAAAGCCAGCGCGGCAGTTCCAGGAGTCCAGGTTGGGTCATTGGAAGGCGGGAACACCGATGGAGGAGAACGAGGTCCTGAGACTGGAAGGCCTGAGAACAACAGTGTGCATCTTCCCCTTTTAGTGCTGTGCTCCCTGTACTACATCAAATCTGCCACCAGGGGCAGCAAAGTCCTCACAAAAAAAAAAAAATCCATAAATAAATAATGAAGGCAGCATGGCCAAATTCCCAACCTTTTAAAAGCCCCCACCAAGATGATGGTGGAATCCTTCCCGGGCATCAGTTTTGCCCTTTGGTTTTGGATGGAGTTAGCTCTTGAGGGGGGAAAAAAGAAAAATAGTGCGCAGAAGTTGAGGATGAAATTACAAAGTTCGGTCCACTCAACGCTGAAATTTCAAGTTTGGGTCAAATCACACTGTTAGACTGCAGTGGTGGGACTGCGCACCAACAGGTGTAGGGCCCCCCCACAGACCGCCAGAAGTCATTAGGGGTGGAGTTTGCTCTCCCAGTTGGATTTCCTCATCACTGGGCGGTTTTAAGCCAAGATATCAGCTTTAAGTGGACAGACCCTTTAAATTCTCCATTTTCCGCCCATCTTCTGTAGTCATTACAAGAGGCCTCCCATTGTTGAAACCTCCATTCGCTGAACATGATGGATAATCCAGCAATAGGAGTTAGACTCCTTGGTGGCTACAGTAGATGGGCGGAGCTTGAGAGCGGCAAAAGTCTTTGCACCGGAATCCCGAGAGATGGAAGAAGCTAGCGGGCCTCCATCCATGACTGGAAGACTGTTGGGTGGACTGACTCTTCAACCCTTTGTTCATAAGGAGAGTAAGAAGAGAAGTTCCACTTCTTCCCGCAACGGTCTGTCCACCATGAGTCCATCTCAGAAATACTGATACATACAAAGACCACAAATGCGCACCCTGAGCTCAGCGCCGGATCGGAAAGTCGGTTGGGGGTCACCAGTACAGAAGTGAGTAAACTGAGGTCCCTGATGGACGTCGGCCCGGCTTGGCCCTCATCATCCCACCATGATGTTAAAGCCGCAGTGAAACTTGTTCTTCCAGTGATTCATGAACGCTCCCAGCGCCAGGGTGACGGGCAGAGGGGGCAGTTTTTTTCTCTAGCACCGCCCCCACGCACCACGAACTGTCCACCGAGCCTTTGAAGACCAGGTTGGCTTTGGGGAGGTTCAGGTGGTAGCCGAAAGCGAAGGAGGTTTCCTGAAGACGAGTGTTGGCCTCAAACTCCACCCCGACCTGAATCTGAGGACGGAAGGGGAACGCTTAGAAACTGTGCAACAGGAATATTAACTAGACACATTTTTATATATTCAAACCAAAATAAATGATTGTGGCGCCAAATATACGTGGTGGAAATGAATGAATGAGCCCCCTAGGGGGGTTTTACAGCTGCCCCTAAAAAGTGAGAGTGACACTTGTATATGGACTAAATAGTGAAGATCTCGCTCTCTCTCTCAATTTTTTTTATTTATATATATATATATATAATAATAATAATAATAATAATAAATATATATTATAAATAAAAAAGTATATATATTTTTATAATATTTTTTTTTTTTAAAAATATTTAAATATATATATTATAAATAAAAAAAAGTATATATATTTTTATAATATTTTATTTAAATTATATATATTTAAATAAATATAAAAATATTACACATTTAAATAAATTATAAAAATATATACACATTTAAATAAAAGTGTGTGCGCGCGCACGCACGCACGCACACACACATATATAGTTAAAATATTATAAAAATATATATATTATAAATACAAAAAAAAGTGTGTGTATATATATATATATATATATATATATAATATATATATATATATATATATATATATATATATATATATAAATATATATTTATATTTTTCTATATTTTATTTAATTTAAATATATATATATTTTTTTTTTACATTTATAATATTTTATTTATATATATAAAAAATTTGTTTTTTTATTTATAATATATATATTTTTATAATATTTTATTTAAATTATATTAAAAAAAAAAAATTGTACTCTACACAAACTTTGATTTTTTTTCTTGTTTTAAGTCTTCGAATTGTAGTGTTTATATTCACCTTCTGTCCAAGAAACCGTATTCTTCTAATTTGTACAGAGAAATATTTTCAGCATAAAATTGGGGGGAAAAAAAAAAAGTGAAAGTGAAAGCTAAACAGGAAATGGTAGGTGAAGGGAGGGAATGGGAAAGGGGCAGCAAAGAAGAAATGGGAGGTTGCAGAGGGCTAAGCAGAAAACAGGAGGACCAAGTAAGAAATGGGGAGGGCAAGGGGAGGAAAGGGAAGGCAAGGGGAGGAAATGAGAGGGAAGGGAAGGGAAGGCAAGGGGAGGAAATGAGAGGGAAGGGAAGGCAAGGGGAGGAAATGAGAGGGAAGGGAAGGCAAGGGGAGGAAATGAGAGGGAAGGGAAGGCAAGGGGGAAATGAGAGGGAAGGGAAGGGAAGGCAAGGGGAGGAAATGAGAGGGAAGGGAAGGGAAGGCAAGGGGAGGAAATGAGAGGAAAGGGAAGGGAAGGCAAGGGAGGAATGAGAGGGAAGGGAAGGCAAGGGGAGGAAATGAGAGGGAAGGGAAGGCAAGGGGAGGAAATGAGAGGGAAGGGAAGGCAAGGGGAGGAAATGAGAGGGAAGGGAAGGCAAGGGGAGGAAATGAGAGGGAAGGGAAGGCAAGGGGAGGAAATGAGAGGGAAGGGAAGGGAAGGGAAGGCAAAGGGAGGAAATGAGAGGGAAGGGAAGGCAAGGGAAGGCAAAGGGAGGAAATGAGAGGGAAGGGAAGGCAAAGGGAGGAAATGAGAGGGAAGGGAAGGCAAGGAGCAAATGAGAGGGAAGACAAGGGGAGGAAAGGGAAGGGAAGGGTGCAAAAGGGGAGGTAAGGTAGGGCAAGGGGAGGAAATAGGAGGGAAGGTAGGACAAGGGGGAAAAAAACCGGGAGGGAAAGTAGCAAAAAGGGAGCAAATGAGAGGCAACGGAGGAAATGGGAAAGAAGCTAGGAAAAGGGAGCAAATGAGAGGGGAGGAAATGGGAGGGAAGGTAGGACAAGGGAGAAAATTGAAAGGAAGGGAAGGCAGGGGAAGAGAGGCAAGGCAAGGCAAAGGAGAAAATGGGAGGGAAAGGAAGGCAAGGGAGGGGAATGGGAGGGAAGGTAGGACAAGGGAGGGAAATGGGAGGGAAGGTAGGACAAGGGAGGAAAGGGAAGGCAAGGGAGCGAATGGAAGGGGATGGCAACACGGGAGGAAACAGGAAGTCAAAGGAGGGAGCAGGAGGGTTAAATAAGATAGAGACAAGGGGGGGTGCGGTTATTCAGAGAGTGGGGGCAAGGGAGACAAGAGAGGATACAGCACAAGAAAGGCCAAGTAGAAAATGGTAGAGCAATAGAGGAAACAGGAGGGATCCCAAGGACAAGGGAGAAAACAGAAGTCAAGGGGGTGCTGGGGAAGAAGCAAGCAGGAAATAGTACAACAAAGTAAAAACACAGGGGGGCAAGGAAGGGGGCAAGAAAGAACAGAAGGGAAAGGAAGAGAACATAAAAGAACAGGAAGAACAGAAGGTGGCAGTAAGGAGGGGAAGGGAAGAAAAAAAAAAAAAAAAAAAAAAAAAAAAAAAAAAAGGGGAAGGAGGAAAGGAAAAGAGGCCAGACAATAAAAACAAAACAAAAAGACAAACCAACCAAACACTTACTTGTTCATTGGCTTTATGATAGTAGCTGGCATGAGCTCCACCGTACCCGATATTCAGAGTGCTCACCCAGTTATCCGCTATACAGAGGGGGAGATATATTACCCATGAAGTGATCACAGGGAGAAGAACTTACAGGAATTTTATACCAAAAGAAAACAAAAAACAAACAAAAAAACCTTGTAATATACTAGAGTTGCAACAAAAGCAAACAATCGAGGAGTCAACAATCCATCTTTCTGTAAGTACAGGATTCACTGCTGGCCAACATAAATGACTGTAGTGTCCACAGTGCAAGATCGCCCCCTGTGGTCAGCACAGCACACTGCAAGATTACATGCCCAATTCAGTTGAGAAGTGTCAGTTTGAGGAAAACATGTCCCACTCTGTTCCTTTCTGGTCTCATTTTTGAAGCTGCTCATAAACAGGCAGATGTGGATATCAGATGACAATGGGACTTCATCCCGGTCTCTGAAAAATCCTGAGATGTCTGGGTTCATTTACAATGTTACATCTCTACCTGAATATTTTCCAGCCATTGTCAAGATGGCGCCTTCCTCCCCCAGCCGTTGATGATAGACCAGCTCTCCGCCGAGGACCAATCGGGGTGTAATGCTCTGCAGGAAGTGTGTTACCAGGATCACTAAGGAAAGGGAACACACATATATGTCATATTATACATCACCGCTCTCCAGATATAAGATATATTATACAGAGTGACATCACCGCTCTCCAGATATAAGATATATTATACAGAGTGACATCACCGCCCCCCGGATATAAGATATATTATACAGAGTGACATCACCGCCCTCCAGATATAAGATATATTATACAGAGTGACATCACCGCCCTCCAGATATAAGATATATTATACAGAGTGACATCACCGCCCCCCGGATATAAGATATATTATACAGAGTGACATCACCGCCCTCCAGATATAAGATATATTATACAGAGTGACATCACCGCCCTCCAGATATAAGATATATTATACAGAGTGACATCACCGCCCTCCAGATATAAGATATATTATACAGAGTGACATCACCGCCCTCCGGATATAAGATATATTATACAGAGTGACATCACCGCCCCCCAGATATAAGATATATTATACAGAGTGACATCACCGCCCTCCAGATATAAGATATATTATACAGAGTGACATCACCCGCCCCCCAGATATAAGATATATTATACAGAGTGACATCACCGTGACATCACCGCCCTCCAGATATAAGATATATTATACAGAGTGACATCACCGCCCCCCGGATATAAGATATATTATACAGAGTGACATCACCGCCCTCCGGATATAAGATATATTATACAGAGTGACATCACCGCCCCTCCAGATATATAAGATATATTTATACAGAGTGACATCACCGCCCTCCAGATATAAGATATATTATACAGAGTGACATCACCGCCCTCCGGATATAAGATATATTATACAGAGTGACATCACCGCCCTCCGGATATATTATACAGAGTGACATCACCGCCCTCCGGATATAAGATATATTATACAGAGTGACATCACCGCCCTCCAGATAATAAGATATATTATACAGAGTGACATCACCGCCCTCCAGATATAAGATATATTATACAGAATGACATCACCCGCCCCTCCGGATATAAGATATATTATACAGAGTGACATCACCGCCCTCCAGATATAAGATATATATATATACAGGAGTGACATCACCGCCCAGATATAAGATATATTATACAGAGTGACATCTCCGCCCTCCGGATATAAGATATATTATACAGGAGTGACATCACCGCCCTCCAGATATAAGATATATTATACAGAGTGACATCACCGCCCTCCAGATATATTATACAGAGTGACATCACCGCCCTCCGGATATAAGATATATTATACAGAGTGACATCACCGCTCTCCGGGATATAAGATATATTATACAGAGTGACATCACCGCCCTCCAGATATAAGATATATTATACAGAGAAGTTGAGCCAATACATACTTGAGTCATTAATTAAATCTGGGTTTCCTAAGGTCAGGGTCCCCGTAAAATCGTCTCCCCGATATTCTACATCAATCTGCCAGGTAAGGAATTTGGCATGACGAGTCTGCAAAAAAATTAAACATGACAAAATTTACAAATCTAATGATTGTAACTATTTTATAAAATATATACAATTCTGTCTCCTTTCCTTGTAGTGAGAAAAAAAAAAAAAAAAAGAAAAAAAAAAAAAAAAAAAAAAAAAAACACAACACGGGGGTTAACATATGATGGCTAAAGTGTGAAAAACGGCCCACCAATCAGTTAATATCGTCTGTTGCTACTGAGCCAGAGCGAAGGAATGAATGATTCATGTATCAGTTCCTCCTTTTCCTCCTATTTCCACCACCGGTGATCAGGGGCGGACCGACAACTCATAGGGCCCCCCGCAGGCAATAGGGGGATCTTGGGGCCCCTGTGTCCTCGCCCAAACCCAAAAAAGCCTATGAAAAAGCCAATGAAAGGTACCAGGGGCTTCTCATGGGGCCCCCTACTGACCCCGGGCCCACAGGCAGTGCCTGAGTGCTCAAATGGTCAGTCCACCCCTGCCTGTGATCACAGTCATTGGTTATTAAAGGGATCACAAGGTACAGAGACCTTCAGATCAGCTCTGTACACAATGCCTATTATCTGAGCTGCGCGGCGGTTTACATCACAGCCCTCAACAGGAGCACTGGTGTTTATAAAAAACGGCAGAAAAAAAAAAAAAAAAAAAAAAAGCATTCACCGCTTTGCGGTTTAACCACTTCCTGTCCAGGACACTTTCCCCCCCCCCCCCCCCTTCAGTCCGGACGCTTTCCCCCCCCTTCCAGTCCGGACGCTTTCCCCCCCCCCTTCCAGTCCGGACGCTTTCCCCATCCCCCGCTTTCCACCCCCTCCCTTCCAGTCCGGACACGCTTTCCCCCCCTCCCTTCCAGTCCGGACGCTTCCCCCCCCCCTCCCTTCCAGTCCGGACGCTTTCCCCCCCCCCTTCCAGTCCGGACGCTTTCCCCCCCCTCCCTTCCAGTCCGGACGCTTTCCCCCCCTCCCCCCCCACTCCAGTCCGGACGCTTTCCCCCCCTCCCTTCCAGTCCGGACGCTTTCCCCCCCCCCCTTCCAGTCCGGACACTTTCCCCCCCCCCCTTCCAGTCCGGACACTTTCCCCCCCCTCCCTTCCAGTCCGGACACTTTCCCCCCCTCCCCCCCTTCCAGTCCGGACACTTTCCCCCCCTCCCTTCCAGTCCGGACACTTTCCCCCCCCTCTTCCAGTCCGGACACTTTCCCCCCCCCTTCCAGTCCGGACACTTCCCCCCCCCCCCCATTCCAGTCCGGACACTTTTCCCCCCCCCCCCACTTTTCCCCCCCCCCCTTTCCAGTCCGGACACTTTCCCCCCCCCTTCCAGTCCGGACACTTTCCCCCCCCCTTCCAGTCCGGACACTTCCCCCCCCCCTTCCAGTCCGGACACTTTCCCCCCCCCCCTTCCAGTCTGGACACTTTCCCCCTCTTCCTGACCAGGGCAATTTTCAGCTTTTAGCGCTATCACACTTTGAATGACAATTGCGCGGGTCATGCAACACTGTACCCATATGAATTATTTACCATTTTTTTGAGACAGATAAAGCTTTATTTTGGTGGTATTTAGTCATCGCTGGGATTTTTATTTTTTTTTTGCTATGTAAATGAAAAAGTCCAAAAATTTTGAAAAAAAAAGTCTTTTTCTTATAAAATTTTGCAAATAAATAATCTTTCATCATAAATCTTGGCCGAAATGTATTTCGTTATCTTTTTAGTAAAAAAAAAAAAAAAATATATATATATACATATACACATGAATAAATAACCCAAATTAATTTATAACCAAAAATTATAACTTTTAAACTTTTTTTTTTATTTTTTTATATTATTTATGGGTTTTTTTTTTTTAACATACTGTCACCCTAGCAGTACAGGGTCACCATGGGGATACTGTACTACTTGTGGGGGGTGATGAAGATTTTTTTTACAGTGATTGCTTTTACACCCATATAGGATGTAAAAGCAATCATTTCTCTCTGTCTGCATTCTTGCAGCCATTGAGAAGTACTGAGTGAGTTGTGATTGCTCACAGCTTGTCACATGGTACAAGGCTGTTGTGAATAGCCCTGTACCATGTGACCTCTGTGATCATTCACCGATTTCACACGTAGTAAGCAATGATGTCACAAGTGACATCTTGTTTACTATTTTGCATGTGATCACCGATTGGTCAATCAGCGATCACATGATCGGGACCTCGTACAGAGGTCCTGTCCGACGATCGGTGTTCCATTGTGTCCGGAGGACACAGCGGGGCACCAGATCGCGGTCCCAGGGAGCGCGCACAAGCAGGGGGCGGGGAGGCTGTTTTATAAACGGCCACCCGCCCCTGCACTGCCACCGTCCGTCCGTTTATATACATGGGCCAGACGGGAAGTGGTTAATGAAGTACGGCGGCGATCGAATGGTTAACGGCGAGCGCACATTTAGCGTTCACACACAAACTGCAGATAATGAATATCCCATTGTTCGGGATTAGAAGCAGCTTGTAATTAGGGCCGGCTGCCTGGAACGTTTCACGCACTCGCACCGAGTCTCCCCATATCCCATGCAGCTCCCCTGCTAATTAATTATACAAATCGATGGCTGCTGCCGGCCGTTTTCGCTTTTTTTAAAAAAAAAACTCGCCGCTCCCGTAATTAGCGCAGGCGAGGCAGGCTCATTAATAATGCAGGCCAGTCTGCTTCTCCCATCTGCTGTAATGTTATATCCCCCATCTAGGAGAACAGGAGTCATCCCGTTACCTGGAATACGGCCTTGGATCGGATGTGTTCGGCCAGCAGGCAGTGGGCCTGGGCGTTCAGGCTGCCGTGGTTGTCCAGATCTCCGGTCAGCAGAGGGAATGTCTGCAACAGGTCAGAGGAGAGAGAAAAATGAGAAGATCTGAGGGATGGAACTTCCAGTACTTCCAGGTGGCGCCATTGCTGGAGCTGAACCTGGGACACCCACTGCAAGCACCTAAATGTGTTCCCACATCAATAAAAACTCCCAAGAATAGTGCTGCGCTGCCCTCTAGTGACCTAAAAAAAAAATACATACAATAAATAAACACCTTCCTGAGCATCGAACCCAATGTGTAATAGAATAAATTGCTGGCAGTCTCCTATTCTGAGGACTGAAGGGCATCCAGAGCGCAGCCCCATTCCACTCTCCACGGAGGGATCGCGCCAGGAGAGGAGGTAAGTACAAAAAAAACGGGAGCTCCACACTATTTCGGGCTGCCCCTTGAGCGTAGAGCCCCCGTAGGTTCCTCTAACGTGTAACTATCCTTCCTGCAGGAAACATTAAAAAAGTGGGAGGAGGGAGGCATGGAGGTCCGCCTTTAAAGTATAGGGCTTACGTGTTTTCTGTCCCGGAGGGAGGAGCTCTACGTCTCAAGGGGCTGTCCTGGAAGATGTTTGGTGAAAAAAAAAAAAAAAATAGTAATAATGGCTGAGCCACTAAATCCAAATGATATGTGAAACAAGATTAGTGCTGCGCTGCCCTCTAGTGACCCAAAAATTAAACTATTAAATAAACACCCTCCTGAGCATCAAACACGGTGTGATAGAATAAATCTGTGAAACAAATAAAGTCAATAAAAAAAAAAAACTGGCTGAGCCACTAAATCCAAAATGATATGTGATACATATCAAAAATAAACCAAAATCAAGTAGCAATAAAACATCTGGCCAACCTGTAATAAACACCCGGCTGAGCTGAAGAAAACACATACTTTACTGTTTTTTTTTTACACTTTATTCTTCAGCTCAGCCGGGTGTTTATTATAGGTTGGCCAGGTGTTTATTGCTACTTGATTTTGGATTATTTTTGATATATGCTTCACGTGTCATTTGGATTTAGTAGCTCAGACAATTTTTTCTTTTTATTTACTATTGACTATTTGTTTCACAGATTTATTCTATTACACATCGGGTTTGATGCTCAGGAGGGTGTTTATTTATTTTTAGTGTATTTTTTGGGTCACTAGAGGGCAGCGCAGCACTGATCCTGGGGAGTATCACCTAAACTTGTTTACTTGTAAAACAATTAAAATGAATGGATACATAATCCTGGCATCAGTCAGCAAGAGAACCATGAAGAGGTGCCGACACCGGAATATAGAGACCGCGCTTCGTACCTCATTGGAGCCAGGCAGTTGGTCTCCCATGTACTTGGCGTTAAAGTGATACCCCGACTGTCCCATCGAGCTCATATGAATGTGGTGGCTGACCTAATAAGAGAAGGGGGGGGGGGGAGGAAAAGAAAAAGGTGAGAAGGGCAGAGGAGAGCAGAACGAGCGAGAAAAGATGGGAAGGGGGGAGGGGGGGGGGGGGGAGAGATATTGGATCCAAGAAGGAGAAAGTGAAAGAAGAGCAAGAGAGGGACAGGGGGAGCAGGAGAGAGAGAAATGAAAGAGGGAGAGAAGAGCAGAGGGGGGAGAGAAAAGCGAGAGTAGAGGCAAAACAGAGGGAAAGGGAAAAAAAAAAAAGAGCGAGAGGGGCAGAGGGAGAGCAGAACGAGCGAGAAGAAGAGGAGGGTGAGGAGGGGATGGAGAGCAAATAGTGAGAGAGGACGGAGGTCGAGAGGGACCAGAGGAGTGACAACAAGGGGGAAGAGAGAGAGAGCAAAGCGGAGGGCAGAGCCAGGGGGAGAGGGAGAGTCAGCCAGAAGGGGAGAAAGAAAAGCAAAAAAGGGAGGAGAAGAGGAGCGGCGATGGGGGGGGGGGGGGGGGGGGGGGAGAGACAGAGAGAGGAGCGGCAACAGGGGGGAGAGGACGGAGAGCCGACGGGGGGGGGGGGGGTTGAAGGGCAGTGAAGCGGCGACCGGGGGGGGGGGGGTGAGAGGAGCGGCAACGGGGGGGAAACAGAGAGAGGGAGTGGCGACGGTGGGGGGGGGGGGGGGGGGGGGGGGGGAGACGGACAGAGGAGCAGCGACGGGGGGGGAGGGAGAGACGGACAGAGGAGCGGCGACGGGGGGGAGAGACGGACAGAGGAGCGGCGACGGGGGGGAGAGACGGACAGAGGAGCGGCGACGGGGGGGAGAGAGACGGACAGAGGAGCGGCGACGGGGGGGGAGAGACGGACAGAGGAGCGGCGACGGGGGGGGGAGGGGGACAGAGGAGCGGCGACGGGGGGGGGAGGGGGACGGGACAGAGGAGAGGCGACGGGGGGGAGAGGACGGACAGAGGAGCGGCGACGGGGGGGAGAGACGGACAGAGGAGGAGCGGCGACGGGGGGGAGAGACGGAAAGAGGGAGCGGCGACGGGGGGGAGAGACGGACAGAGGAGCGGCGACGGGGGGGGAGAGACGGACAGAGGAGCCGGCGACGGGGGGGGGGGGAGAGGGGGACGGACAGAGGAGCGGCGACGGGGGGGGGAGGGGGACGGACAGAGGAGCGGCGACGGGGGGGGGGGGGGGGAGAGACGGACAGAGGAGCAGGCGACGGGGGGGGGGGGGGGGGGGGGGGGAGACGGACAGAGGAGCGGCGAGGGGGGGGGGAGAGACGGACAGAGGAGCGGCGACGGGGGGGTGGGGGAGACGGACAGAGGAGCGGCGAGGGGGGGGGGGGGGGGGGGGGGGTGAGGACGGACAGAGGAGCGGCGACGGGGGGGGGGGGGTGAGACGGACAGAGGAGCGGCGACGTGGGGGGGGCGGGGGGGGGGGGGAGACGGACAGAGGAGCGGCGACGGGGGGAAGAGACGGACAGAGGAGCAGGGACGGGGGGGGGAGACGGACAGAGGAGCGGCGAGGGGGGGGGGGAGACGGACAGAGGAGCGGCGACGGGGGGGAGAGACGGACAGAGGAGCGGGCGATGGGGGGGGGGGGGGGGGGACGGACAGAGGAGCGGCGAGGGAGGGGGGGGGGAGGGGAGACGGAGAGAGGAGCGGCGACGGGGGGGAGAGACGGAGAGAGAGAGGAGCGGCGACGGGGGGGAGAGACGGAGAGAGGAGCGGCGACGGGGGGGAGAGACGGAGAGAGGAGCGGCGACGGGGGGGAGAGACGGACAGAGGAGCGGCGACGGGGGGGAGAGACGGACAGAGGAGCGGCGACGGGGGGGAGAGACGGACAGAGGAGCGGCGACGGGGGGGGGGGGAGGGGGACGGACAGAGGAGCGGCGACGGGGGGGGGGAGGAGGGGGACGGACAGAGGAGCGGCGACGGGGGGGGGGGGGGGGGGAGACGGACAGAGGAGCGGCGACGGGGGGGTGGGGGAGACGGACAGAGGAGCGGCGACGGGGGGGGGGGGGGGGGTGAGACGGACAGAGGAGCGGCGACGGGGGGGGGGGGGTGAGACGGACAGAGGAGCGGCGACGTGGGGGGGGCGGGGGGGGGGAGACGGACAGAGGAGCGGCGACGGGGGGGGGGGGGGGGGGGGGGGGAGACGGACAGAGGAGCGGCGACGGGGGGGTGGGGGGAGACGGACAGAGGAGCGGCGACGGGGGGGGGGGGGGGGGGGGGATGTGAGACGGACAGAGGAGCGGCGACGGGGGGGGGGGGGGGGGTGGGGGTGAGACGGACAGAGGAGCGGCGACGGGGGGGGGGGGTGAGACGGACAGAGGGGAGCGGCGACGTGGGGGGGGCGGGGGGGGGGGGGGAGACGGACAGAGGAGCGGCGACGGGGGGGAGACGGAGAGACACAATGGGTCGGTTTATACTTCATAAAAGTGAACAATGGCCGGTCCTCTTCATGGCCACGGCCACCTACCTGAAAATGGCTGCTGAGATATTTGTTGATGATCACCTTCACCCCCACCATCTGCTGCGGGAACACCTCTACAACCAGAGAACACAATCAGCCTCCAATCACCTCGCTCTCTCTGCTCTTCGTAGGTAGAACGGTCGCCATTTTATAAATCCCCTTTCTGCGACAACACCCTCCCCCTGCTATCGCATAGTCAGGACTCTAACAGCTACGTGCGCAGAACTGGGAGCTGCAGCAGACCGATGACATCATCACAGCCACCGATTGGGCTCCAGGGTGGATTTTTAATAAAAGGGTGGAGCTTATCTGAGAAATGATCCTGCAGGCCGTCCATTGTGACTGCAGGGATCTATTCCCGGAAACTTGCGCCGTCGCTGACAGGTCCTCTTTACTCACCTTTACAGCTCTTGTGCAGCTCATCGAAGCTCCCCGGATTGGGCAGAGGCAGCGGCCGCCCCCGCCTCCTCCAGGACGCCTGCGGGTTGTAGTGGGTGAAGACGTTCCCCATGCCGGCTTCCGCCAACGACGAGAAATCGGACTGAGCAAAGCCGCTGTTATGGAAGGCGGGGCTTAGGAGGAACATGGCGTCCTCATGCAGCCGTCCCGGCTGAGGGAGCTCCCATAATCCTTTGCGACGTGTTCTCCGTTAGTGAAGGAGGACTTGAAAGGCGAAACCTGCTGGGGAGAGACAGGAGATCAGTTATGGAGGACGAAACGCGCCGGGGCGGATCCCTCACCGGGAGACACTAGGAAAGGAGAAGTCGTCTTATCATCAATGGTGGACTTGTGGTCTCCTAAGTACATGAACCCGACTAGAGTGACTGGAGGAGCGGGGAGACAATCCTACAAGGCTTGCACAACTTTTTCCACGGTCGTAGACCAAAAGTAACCAAAGTAGGTGATCGAAGCGTCACGTCTATTGAGCCTTGGGTCCCGGAAATCACCTGTCCATCCGCTGACCATGGATGAAGTGGGGGATGGGTTAGACCCTCGGTCTATTTTTATTGCTCTTTTGCGGAGATTCCCCGTCTCTATTTGTCATAGTGAGAAAGAAAGTGAGGGGAAATCCAAACTGTTACAGTTGTCACCAGAACAGGAAGTGAGGGGAAATCCAAACTGGGGGAAACGGACAGGGGATTTACCTCCATCTGAGAGACTTCCTCTAACTTCCTGTTACAGCCAGAAGGCAGGAAGTAGAGATTTTCTCTGACTTCCTGTTACATCCAGCAGGCAGGAAGGGTAGACTTCTGACTTGTTGCATCCCCCAGACAGGACAAAGAAATTTCCTCTGACTTTTTGTTGCATGCCCTTGAGAGAAAGTGGAGATTTCCTCCAACTTCCTGCTGAATCCCCCCAGCAAAGTAGTAGACATTTCCTCTACACTACCTTTGCATCCCCCAGAAAGGAAGTGGAGGTTTCCTCCGAGTTCCTGTTGCATCCCCCAGTACAGGAAGTAGTGGTTTCCGCTAACTTCCCGTTACAATCCCCAGACAGGAAGTATCGATTTCCTCTACATTCCAGTTGAATACCCCAGTGCAGGAAGTAGAGATTTCCCCTAATTTCCTGTTGCAGCCCCCAGACAGGAAGTAGAGATTTCCCCTAATTTCCTGTTGCATCCCCAGAAAGGAAGTGGAGGATTCCTCTAAGTTCCTGTTGCATCTTCCAGTACAGGAAGTAGAGGTTTCCTCTAACTTCCTGTTACAATCCCCAGACAGGAAGTAGAGATTTCCTCTACCCTCCAGTTGAATACCCCAGTGCAGGAAGAAGAGATTTAATCTAATTTCCTGTTGCAACCCCCAGACAGGAAGAAGAGATTTCATCTAATTTCCTGTTGCAACCCCTAGACAGGAAGTAGAGATTTCCTCTAATTTCCTGTTGCAATCCCCAGACAGGAAGTAGAGATTTCCTCTAATTTTCTGTTGAATCCTCCAGACAGGAAGCTGAAATTTCCTCTAAGTTCCGGTTGAATCCTCCAGACAGGAAGAAGAGATTTCATCTAATTTCCTGTTGCAACCCCCAGACAGGAAGTAGAGATTTCTTCTAATTTCCTGTTGCAACCCCCAGACAGGAAGTAGAGATTTCCTCTAATTTCCTGTTGAATCCTCCAGACAGGAAGTAGAGATTTACTCTGAGTTATAGTTAAATCGAAAGATTTCCTCTGACTTCCTGTTGCATCCCCAGTACAGGAAGTAGAGATTTCCTCCAAGTTCCTGTTGAATCCAGAGTTCCTCTGACTTCCTGTTGCAATCCCCAGACAGGAAGCAGAGATTTCATCTGACTACCAGTTACATCTCCCAGGCAGGAAGTAATAGGAAATTTCCTCCATGGTAGAAAAGACATCGAAAAAACCAACCTGGCAGGGGGTTCAGCCCTAATTTGTAAGCCGTGTATGTACCTGAATGTGACCCAGTATCAGCCGCTTGCTGTCCCTGTACAGCAGAGCTCAGACCGGGAGAGGGAAAAGCAACACAAGGAGTCAATCAGTTGTGCCAAAGCATGCTGACAGGAGGAGAGAGCAGAGTGACAGAGAAGGGAGCTCATTAGTCTCTCTTCACTGTCCAAACTTCTGCCCCCACTGGACAGGACTGTGCTGTGCACATCTCAGGACTGGATGGACAGACACATCCTATGGCAGGTCATAGATCTCCTATATGTTCGGATTCTTGCCTGGGATTGGAGTTGGCGGGGCGGAGGGATCTCCGGATACAATGACAGAGAACGGATTCTCCTCCAGGAGCACTGTGAAAGGCCTGCTGAATCTGCCTGCAATGGCACACAAATACCTGCAGAGAGAGAAGAGATGGCTGAGCTGAGCATGTCCTGTACAACCCACTCCTGTCACCTCCTACCATTCACCACAGAGATAAATACAGAGAAGAGCTGGCATGCACGTGCAGGGGCCCCTCCTGTCCCCGTACCCACCCAGCGATCAGCTCTCACCGTCCTCCCTCCACTGATCTCCGGCCTGCGCCTGTCCTCCCATTCATGGCAGCAGCAGAGGGGCGGCCATTACTACTGCTGGCAGGCTCCGCCCGGCCGGACGTCAGAGGCGCCCACACAGGGAAGGCAGGCGGCCATGTTGGGTGCGGGCAGGGGAGGAGAGGAGTGGCCACAGGCTACCGCTCACCAATAGGGATACGTTTCGTCACATGACCTATTTGTACTTTAAAGGAGGCGTACTGAAGGGGGCAGAGAGAGTCTATGATCAGCAAAGAGGACCTGTCACCCCATTATATAATATACCAATAAAGAGGACCTGTCATCCCATTGTAATATATACCAATAAAGAGGACCTGTCATCCCATTATATAATATACCAATAAAGAGGACCTGTCACCCCATTATATAATATACCAATAAAGAGGACCTGTCACCCCATTATATAATATACCAATAAAGAGGACCTGTCATCCCATTATATATTATTACAATAAAGAGGACCTGTCACCCCATTATATATTATACCAATAAAGAGGACCTGTCATCCCATTATATAAATAATATACCAATAAAGAGGACCTGTCACCCCATTATATAATATACCAATAAAGAGGACCTGTCACCCCATTATATATTATACAATAAAGAGGACCTGTCATCCCATTGTAATGTATACCAATAAAGAGGACCTGTCACCCCATTATATAATCTACCAATAAAGAGGACCTGTCATCCCATTGTAATGTATACCAATAAAGAGGACCTGTCACCCCATTATATAATATACCAATAAAGAGGACCTGTCATCCCATTGTAATATATACCAATAAAGAGGACCTGTCATCCCATTATATAATATACCAATAAAGAGGACCTGTCACCCCATTATATAATATACCAATAAAGAGGACCTGTCACCCCATTATATAATATACCAATAAAGAGGACCTGTCATCCCATTATATATTATACAATAAAGAGGACCTGTCACCCCATTATATATTATACCAATAAAGAGGACCTGTCATCCCATTATATAATATACCAATAAAGAGGACCTGTCACCCCATTATATAATATACCAATAAAGAGGACCTGTCACCCCATTATATATTATACAATAAAGAGGACCTGTCATCCCATTGTAATGTATACCAATAAAGAGGACCTGTCACCCCATTATATAATCTACCAATAAAGAGGACCTGTCATCCCATTGTAATGTATACCAATAAAGAGGACCTGTCACCCCATTATATAATCTACCAATAAAGAGGACCTGTCATCCCATTATATAATACACCAATAAAGAGGACCTGTCATCCCATTGTAGTATATACCTATAAAGAGGACCTGTCATCCCATTATATAATATACCTATAAAGAGGACCTGTCATCCCATTATATAATATACCAATAAAGAGGACCTGTCATCCCATTATATAATATACCGGGTGTCGGCAACCCGCGCTCCAGAGCCGCATGCGGCTCTTTTTCACCTTGGCTGCGGCTCCGGAGCACACTGCCCACCAGGTGACAGGCAATAGGGCAGCAATGGGCAAACTACGGCCCGGCAGACCTTTTAATCCTGCCCCTGGAGCTAGGCTCCCGCTAGGCTCCTCTCACAGTCCGCCCTGAAGACCGGTGTAGCATGAAAATCTGTCTCCTATGAGGATCTGTCCCCCTCGACGTATCTGTGCATGTGCCGGAGATCGCCGATCGGCTGCTAATGCCTGAAACTGGCACATGCGCAGATACGTCGAGGGGGACAGCACCTCATAGGAGACAGATTTTCATGCTACACCGGAACGGCGCGGGAACACGGCGAGAGGAACGCACGGAGCAAAGGTAAGTGAATTGACACAGGGGGGACTTGGGGACTTAATATGGGGGATGAATTACTATAGGGGGCATGAATTACTATACGGGGGATGAATTACTATATGGGGGATGAATTACTATATGGGGGATGAATTACTATATGGGGGATGAATTAGAATTACTATAGGGGGGGATGAATTACTATATGGGGGATGAATTACTATATGGGGGATGAATTACTATATGGGGGATGAAATTACTATATGGGGGATGAATTAGAATTACTATGGGGGGGATGAATTACTATGGGGGATGAATTACTATGGGGGATGAATTACTATGGGGGATGAATTACTATATGGGGGATGAATTACTATATGGGGGATGAATTACTATGGGGGATGAATTACTATATGGGGGATGAATTACTATGGGGGATGAATTACTATATGGGGGATATATTTTCAGTTTTAAAAATGTGGCTCTCAAAATAAATTTCAATCGTGGTTTTGGCGAGATTTGGCTCAGTTGAAAAAAAAGGTTGCCCACCACTGACCTAAGGCTATGATTGTGATTATGACGATACACTGTGGCCCTGATTAACCCTTTGCTTACTGGGCCCTTAAACCCCCTTCATGACCAGAGCGCTTTTTGCAATATATGCAGTGTCGGATTTGTTTTAAATGTTGCAATGGTTTTGCGGCTCCCAGTCTTTTTTTCCCTCTCGGAAACGGGTCCAAGTGGCTCTTTATGTCTTAAAGGTTGCAGACCCCTGTAATAT